AGGTCAATTATCATGATTTAGTTGTTGGGTTTGCTGCGCATCAGATGCCTCTTCTGGCTCCTTTTTGGCAGTGGTACTGGCCTTGTTTGAGATGAGGACTTCAGAAATGTGATGTCCTAATCGTGTACGCGGAATGGGCGTTCGCTTGATAGGTCTACTCGCACGCTCCGTTAGAACTCTTTATTGCGTTGTATCACAAGGCACATTAGAGCCATGGACATCCAAAACCAAAGAATCTGCAGGAAAGGAGAAATAGCTTACAGAGTCATACCGCGTGCGCTGTCGAGTTGCTCTTCATCTACAGGCAAAAACTCGACGAGAACGTCGGTGCTGTGAGAAGATGTCCATCCCGTTCTTGCCATCGCTGCCCCTTTATCAGCAATGACATTGCCCATGACTCTGCCTCGCGGAACCCAGTGCAGTTCGACCATGACTCCAGCTTTTGAAAGCTCATCTATAATGACGGAGACTTTCTCTGCTGTTCGTTTTCTCATCCCGTTTTTCGTGTAAGGGTTGTCGCCCTGTGCATTTCCGTGAGGTCCAGTGGTGACCATGGGTCTATTCGTCCTTAGGAGACGCAACGCAGACTGACTGTCGGTGAAAACTTCGACAGATCGTAAAGGATCGATGTTTTCCTCCTGCATTTTGGTGACCTGCACCGCATAATCCAGCGCAAGACAAACAGCCTCAAGTTCTGCAACTTCTAGAGGAGTGGCGTGCCCTTTTTCGGAGACGCGCACCCAGTAAGAGCCAGTTAGAAATGCCACTGCAAAGCCTGTAGAGGTCTTTTTCTTCGAAGCATCGGCCCAGATAATCAGCCGAGAGCCATTGCTGGGCACCCCTGTGACACTTTGAGCTCTCATCACAGCCACCGCAGGAGGTTTGATAAAAACACTGGTTAACGGCCCAAGCTGATGGCGGAAGCTGTTTATCTTGGGCTCCTTCTTTTTCCCCTTCGTGGTCCCTTTCGTGCGTACCAGTACCTCCGTAGTAGTTGCAGGTGTCGCAATCTCGGATGGCGGCTCCTCATTCCATGCCTCGCACGCTGCAAGCCATGATCTCTTTGATCTTTCGAGAAGGCCTTGGATCGTAGCGTAAAGGTCCAAAATGGGGACTGGGACGTAGGGCATTCTGTTTGACTGAAGGAAGCCGTAGCGCGGTGAATGATGACGATGGTGGAAGAAAGATACAAGATGGAAGGATAAACAACAAATGGATGCACAGGGTGGAGAAGAGAGGAGTAAGGATGCGGCAGTGCCTAACAGCCTCTGAATCAGAGAAGATGTGTGTGGGAACGGTTGAAGTTACTGGTAAGTGCCTCTCAGTGGCAGGAAAATGATAAAAATGTTAATGGCCTTGAGCGCCACCTCCTGACAGCCTGGAGGCCAGAAGCTACCACTTGTAAAAAAAGGTTAAACGAGCGGTGGGAGTCAAAGGCAAAGATGTAAGAGTTGAGAACTTGAAGTGCGGGCGAGTTGTAGCTATGGATGGAATTCTAGGTATGCTGAAGGGAAAAAGACCTGAATGCGATAAAAGCCCATTTATTTCCCCTGCTACTGTATAGCACCTAGCAGCCGAGTTAACAGAATGGCGGGAGATGCTGTTCTCATGTCTACTAGATAGATAAATAGAGGCTACTTGAATTATTACTGACAGAATACCTTACTAACCTTAAATCTGCGTATAGCACGGTATATGCAAACAAGAATAGAGTACAGGTAGCCTATGCTGTCAGGAGAACCAGCACAACCCGAGAGTTGGGGCTTAGATAGTTAAGTTTAGAAAGCCAGAAGGATACCAAGAAAATAAAGACCTAATCTGATTCTTTTTAAATTCCCGGCCTCCTGATCGAAGTGTCTTGAGAATGTAGATCATCAAGTTCATCCGTAGCTGAAGTTTTGAGGAGAGGAAGTTGGGTGTCATTTTCAGGCCCTGGTTTTTCTTATTTCCAATTATGCAGCTGTCTAAGGTAAAAAACTGATTCCTGTGACCCGTAGGATACCCAATTAATCACGAAGGGAGGTTAGGTAGTTAGATTTGAGGTTCCCATGGTTGCCGCCGCTAACCATCATGGCCCCAGAACCTGGGTAGTCTTCCCGGATGCAGTGGAGGCGAGGCACGGATGGCTCAGTGTTTGCAGTACATAGAATATCCCTGGAGGGAGCGGAAGGTTGTAATATAAGTATCTCGTCGTGAATCGACTACCTGTAGCATCCATCTTGCCTTTCTTCTTGGTGTCATTCAGGGCTTTCGTCAGTGTTCTCAAATTACGAGATCCCTTTACCAACAACAGTTGATCTCGCTGGCCCTCCAGCTGGAAGCTGAGCCCGAGGATGGGGGCGATAGGGCTGAAGCAGGGGCTTGGGTATCATAGAAAAGCTTGGCGCATTTGGCTTCCGACGATGAAACCCTATTGTCGTATTGGCATCAGATAAGGTTGAGATTCATTCACATTACTTATATACTATCTAGGAGAGGAAAGAAAACACAAGACCCTTAATCCTAAATAATAAAAAGAATTAGGTAATATAGCCTAAGATTAGGATAACCTTTAATGAATTTATTTTGATCCCGTATATTAAAGTTTGCTGTTTTCTTGCTCCCCGAGGATGGTATATACACTGATACTGGGACTGGACGAACATGAATCGATACCACATGGAAAGCCTCTGGAGCTCGGAAAGACTATTGCATATCTCCAGTTCTAGACATGCACGATCCTTTGACGGACGGTGTTAATATCACAAACCCCGATCAATGACTAAAGGGGCCTCGAGCTCACCTCCAAAGTCTCGCCAATCAGAATATCCAAATTCCACCCTCGCTCTAGTCTAGTGTGAAATATTGCTTAGATTCAGCCTTAAGTCTAAGCTCACCAATCATATCCTTTTCGCTCCTCTCGCGCTCAAGTCAACCTCCGACATGCCGTCTTAAATATTGCCTAAAGAGGAAACGGGGCAACTTAGATCTGCCACTCTATCTGCTGATTCGGGGTGCCGATGACCGATACCGAGTGTCTGGTTTGGTGTTGCTGAAGAATGAGCATTCCCAAAGGGGTATGTATATAGACGACATCCTCCCGTTTGTAGGGTGATTTGTTTCAACATCTACTGCTCTTATGTATAAGTCATCGACATAAACACAGCATTTCTTCAACAAGATGTCAGGCGAAACACCTCCCCAGGGGCCTCCCTATCTCCCAAAAACAGCTGGTCTAGGCGGCAGACCTACGCCCAGTGTCGACGATCCCATCTGTGCTGTTATTTTGGCCTTCTTCGTTGGCGGTGCCATTCTCAACATGACTATCTTTCAGCTGAACAAAAAGCGATCCCACAAATTCGTCCTCAGCGGTTTGCTTTTTGGATTTTGTATGGCCCGTATCACTGCGAACGTGCTGAGAATCGCATGGGCTTCGAACCAGCATGACACCAGTCTTGCCATCGCTGCCCAGGTGTTTGCAAACGCAGGCGTTGTGCTCTTGTTCGTTGTGAATCTGATCTTTGCCCAGCGCATCTTGAGGGCGTATCATCCACATATTGGATGGAGCAGACCTGCTTCGCTGGCGTTCAAGTTCTTGTACTTTTGCATCCTTGCAAGTCTTGTGATGCTAATTACAGCTGTGGTGTATAACTTCTACACCCTGAACCCACATACGAAACAGCAACTTCGCGACGTTCAGCTCACCGGCAGCACGTTTCTCGCCATTCTCGCTTTTCTTCCATTGCCCATTGTCGGAGCGTGCTTCATCATCCCCCGAAGAGCACCAATGGACAAATTCGGACAAGGCCGCATGCGGACAAAAATCCAGCTTCTTATCTTCACAACTACACTGCTTTCTCTCGGTGCTGCTTTCAGGACTGGCGTATCCTTCAAGCTGCGGCCCGCGAACGATCCAGCTTGGTATCATAGCAAAGCATGTTACTACTGCTTCAACTACGTCATCGAGATTATTGTCGTCTTCTCCTACGCTCTCTCGCGATTCGATCGACGCTTCCACATTCCCGACGGTAGCCATGCCCCTGGCGATTACTCTGGTCGCAATAAAAAGATCCAAGAGCGCATGTACCGTGTTAATACTGAAGAGGAAGTCTTTGGCGAAGACGAGCGACCACGAACAGCTGAGCAGCGCCAACAGCAGCAGCAAAACTGGGAGGCAGGTCTAAAGGAGGAGCTCAAGGAGGAGACCGTTTGATGTCAAATATCGTGTTACACGACTGTACTAATTATAATACATGGCCAATTGTGGTCGTACAAAGAATGGCTATGGATTCTGTACGACCGTTTTCGCCCTCAATACAAGCTGTTCTGTACAAGACACAGAGGGGGATGGTCTATGCGCCCCAAGAAATTGGAAAGTCCAATATATCTTCGAACATCATGGCTGATCCTGGGCTGAAGTGTTATGTAATACTCGAGGTTAATTTTGTTAGATATTAGTCTAGATGTATTAATGTAGTCGAAACGATTCGACTTGTGAAACTCAGTTAGACCAATACTGGATCAACTCAACATATCAACATAAAGCATCCAAGTGATGGGCGTCATCTGCTATCATGACTTTGTTCGTACGAGACCTCAGGAGGTAAGTATTGTTCACCGATGCTGCGAGGAAAATCGGCTCTTTAATCACTTCAGTGCCCATATCATGAGGAGACAGACAAGTGTTGATCATGCATGCGTGTTTCTTTCTCTTACAGCGCGTAACTCAAATATGCGTATCTAAGCAGCCATGAGGTGGGCGCCGCAATCAAGTCTACCAACTCTTCCCTGCACGTACCTCCAAAGTTACGGTCGCTTTGCAAGATTCGGAAGATCTCCATTAGCAAAGATGTAATATCCGTACAAGCCATGCTCCATGAAGTTCTGTTTTCGTTCGAGGAATTCGTCGTGGAATCGTACACGGCCGAGCTGCAAAGGACTTGAGGCTGGCGTGATTGCACCAGGCATGGCAGTTTGACATTTGACTCGAGCTTGGTAAAACGTGGGTATACGTGACGAGATTAGAGGAAGTAGTCGGGAGTCCCTGGTCATGGTGTTAGATGAGTCCAAGTAATCGCTTGTGGGTGAAACTTACGCCTTGAGACCATGGGCTCGCCAGCTCTGGGGCATGGATCAAATTGCAAGCTGGTTGTGGTCAGTTCGTGTATTTCATATTAAGAGTGGATCGACTCACAAGGTGTACTTCAGGTGCTCATCAATCTCCATGATAGCAGCTTGGTTACCGCATCGGTAGCAGTAGTTGGGCGCTGTAGTAATGTCAATGCTGTACAGAAGCGTAGCGTCTCGCGTGCTGAGCGTACCTGAGAAGATGGTGACAACATTTCGGTCTTGGGACCAGTTGTAACCCTCCATAACAAGCTGATGGGCGCGAGCAATCAAGGTCAAGCCATTGTTGTGGTTGAAAGCTTCTGAAATGTCCTGTCCGAATGTGTACCCCGCACCTCGAGGAGAGATTCCCCAGCCACATCGGTCGTCAGGGTCTGACCAGAGAAGATCACACATGGGACCCTCGTGAGGAACCTCCTGAATACGATCAAGAGCTCGGATGTTATCCAAAGTATCAATGCTTGGGGAGAGACCACCATGAAGACAGAAGATTTGGTTGTCGATCAGGGCAGTGAGGGGGAGGTAGTCAAAGAGGTCGGTAAAATACTTCCAGACATTAGCGTTTCCATATTTACGGAGGCATTCGTCGTAGAAGCCGTAGACCTGAGTGATCTGACGGGACTCGTGGTTTCCTCGGAGGATTGTGATTCGTTGAGGGTATCGGATCTTGAGGGCGACAAGGAGGGTGACGGTCTCAACAGAGTAGTAGCCTCGGTCAACGTAGTCACCTATCGAGAGTAAGTATCGACTTCGTGAGGCTGGAATATGACTGAAGCGTACCCATGAATAGGTAGTTGGTATCGGGGTTAGGACCGCCAATCTTGAAGAGCTCCATCAAGTCGTGGAATTGACCGTGGATATCACCACAGACGGTAACGGGACATTTCTGGCAATATGGTATCAGCTCAAGCACTTAGCTTGCCGGCGCATGTTGTAAACGTACCACTGGCTGCACGTTCGACTCCTCCTGTAGAACTTCTCGTGCCTACATGGCATATTAGCATTTGGTTGCATCACGCGAGAAGCCGAGCTAGTCAAGTATGATGATGCACGCTCATTCTGATCGCGACTTGATCATCAAATGCACCATGCATCAGGCCAGGCTCTGCATCCCGCTGAGTTGACAGTCTCCTCACCTTATCGCACAGTCTCTGAACGTCAGCTTCGGCTAGCTGCTTGCAAGACATCAAGCTCTCGATCCAACCGTCGAGGGTGGGGATCGTAGTAGGCTCGAAGTTGAGCACGGGCGAAGCTTCAGCGGGCGCTCGCCCAACATCCTCCATATTGGTATCCATGGCTCAGCGGTGTCTAATCGGTTATTGATGTGTTGATTAACGCGAGTGAGGTTGAAATGACGTTGATGCGGTCTGAATCGCGAGAAGTCGGGTGGGGCACGCCGCACGAGGCACAAAGGCGGCGGTCGTCAGGGGAGGAGAAAAGGGAAACAAGGGAGATGAGATAATCAGCAGCTGCCGATACCAGCAGCAGCAGTTCCTGTCGCTAAATCGTTCTATCGCCGTAAAAAAAAGGAGGATGCGGAAAAAAGGCGCAGGATGGCGAGAACGCGCGAAGCTCGTTAGTGAAAGAATTTTTGGTGAGTGTTGTTAGGTGATGGATGATGATGGGGAGCGAAAGGAGGAGGGATGGATGATGTTGGTGGTTGCCAACCAGCCCAGCCCAGGTCCAGGCCGTGGACAGCCTAGCACTAACACGCCAAGCTGGGGCACCGCCAGCGCAGTGCCAGTGTTTGCCCCTTCCACTGCCAGCCTTGGCTAGGTTCCATACCATAGGTAACGCCTCATGTGGCGTAACGAATCTCTATAAAAGGACTTCAGCAGGCAATTCTATCGGACGATCGAAGAAAAAGAGGTCATCGCGATCTTATAATCATTTTGATTTCCATTTCTGAATGCGGCGCTTCAACACTGAATGGCGGTGGCCATAAAGTCGAGGTACCTTGGCTGCAGCCCAAAGCTTGTCTGACGACGGGTGTGGCTTGACTTCTCTCTCCAATAACAGCTACATCAATATCACTTGGGCCTCATCTGATCATAACTAGCTTCGTTTCTTCGATAATTGCTACAATGGCACTCCAATTCCAGCCTGGGTATTGCCCTACGAGTAATGTGTGACGCTGACAAGGTAGCCAAAGGGTTACTGACGCCAACCAATCCATCCACCTCAACCAATACCTTAAAACCTCCTGTTCATGACAACCCCAGTCCGACAGAAGCCTCCTTTTCCACACGCTCATAGTTCAACAAGTTCTTCCCGACCAAGTTCTCAAAGTCAAGGCCGACTTCCGATAACAGCTTAGAATGTTCCTTCGCCCTCTCCATGCACTGAGTCCAAACCTGTCCCCCAGGCTCCGTACTACTAAGTTGGCGTGCCAGGATGACGTTGAACGCATCTACTTCCTCCTTTGCCCATTTGACACATACACTCATCATGGGCGGTGGAAAGCAAGATTGGAAACACTGCACCGTGTTATGGATAACCATAAAGTACACAAACGAGAGTTCCCAGATATATAAATGCAAGTCTCCCTGGAAAATGCATTGCCTGATAACACGTTAGCTTGTCGTCTCATATTATTCACAATATCACTCACCTGGCTCGTTTATGGATAGTGCCACTTCTCGCCGCCAGATACGATTCTCGGGCGCTATCTTCAAATCCAAGTCTTGTCAACCAGCTGACATTCCTCCTCGTCTTTGTGTTGTTATCGTGCGTCAGTTCCAGTTCACGAACAATCATGTCCGCCAATTTAGCACATCGTTCGCCAACCTTGAAGTTGATAAAGTCCTGAGCAATGGCATGGTTCTTCAGCCCACGAGCGATCGCCTTGAGCTTCTCGACACGAGCTACAGCGTCTTCGAATCGTTGCATAGCAATGTCTATGTCGAGGTCATCCATCTCGCTCTCAACCCAGCGTAAGTTCTGCTGTTTGCCGTCAACTTCAATGAGCATATCCTTGATGTCCGACAGCGTGGCTAGAAGTTCAGTCTTTTGAAGAAGACCGGGATCGCGAGAGGCGAAGTAGTTGATCGTTTCACGCGCCTTGTTGTTAGCCTCCATCTCCGATCGAAGGCCCTTGCGAAGCTGTTCTATAGCCTTGCGCACATTGAGGAGTAGCTGCTTCTTCTCGGGGTCCTGGGGTTTCTCCGTCCGATAGATGAAAGATTCCTGACCAACACCCCGGACCATAATAGCATCTGCAAGCTTATTGCGTCCACTAGTCGAAGATTCTCCAGTGCTGGACATGTCCACCACTTCGACATCTAATAGTGGCCAACAACGGTCGGCCACCAACTTCATCATCGGCCCTCGTGCGTCTGAACCCGGCGCATCTGCTTTTCGCTTCTTACGCGATGCGATGAGGAGGTGATCATTAAGCAGAAAGATCTGCATCGCTCGGCGCGACTTGTATGTAGCATTATCAAGCTCAATCCAAGGCCCTGCGTCTTGGACAACATGACGTCCCGCCGCATTAGGGAGAAACTTTTGCGATCCTTCCACACCCTTGAATAGGGCCTGCATTTGAGAGTTCCACATGGCGCTTCTATCGGCAATAGAGGTGCGCCTGTCTCTTCTGCTGCTGATACCAGGAGCGCTTACGAGCTCCCCCGGCATTGAATCATCATTCTTGGCAGCGGCAGCTCTCATAGCTGTAGTGTTGACTTTGAGCTCTGACATGAAGTTCTTGAGATTCCTCATCTCGCTCTTTAGCTTTTCCGCTTCCTTGCTGATTTTGATAAACTGTGTTCTGTTTTGCATAACGCTCTGTTGTAGATCCATTCCCACACGCGTCTTGACTTTTCGCAACGAATCTTCGAATTCGCGGATTTGGTCTTCGGTTGCATCGCTCAAGGCAGCCTGGACGTAACGGTCTGGCTTCAACTTCGGATCTCGCAGACCCTTAATATCGACAACTGGAGCAACTCCAGGCCCCGCACGCGAGGGAGGCTTTCTGATGGCGGCAGCAGTCGGAGGCTCGTAATTGCCAAGCGAGGGCATCTGCGGCATTGGAGGTGCGGCGCCATTGGGACCTGAGGGCGGTTGATTAAATCGAGTCGAGTATCGTCGTTTCACAAGATCCGAGGTCTATTAGACGATGTGAGCATAGCGACACTGGAAACAGCCTCTCATGGAGACTCACCTTTCCACCAGCCATTGGGGGAGGACGCGGGCGAGGACGAGCTTGGCCCGGGTCGCCTGGAGGAGGCGGTCTGTTTGTATCATCTTGAGCAATCGGACCTGAGATCTGGCGAGGAGCACTGATAGTTGGCCTCTTCTTTCTCTTGCCGCTGCGGAGGGATATCTTATTGCGATCCTCCATCTTGGGCAAGTGTTGCAAGTACAATGGCGACTCGACAGCTTCGAGCTTGGTAAGTAAAAACGGTATCAAGCTGGAATTACAAAGTAGTAGGATAAGCGAGTGGTGTCTTGAGCAAGGTCTAAAATGCTTGTCTGGCTTTTTGCGCCAGCAGACAGTGATCTATTCCATGAGCTGTACGTGTAATCGTCAGGCCTATTTAGTGAAGCAGCTACCTTCGGAATGGAAGTCCAGTGCATCAGGAGGTGGGGTACGTACCGAACAAGCCCAGCCTCAGCCGGTTACGTGGGTTTCATTGACAGCATCGATGAGACAGACCTGGTCCAAAATACTCTATAGCTGGTAGATTTCTTATAATGAAAATTGGAAAAGTGATGCTTCTATATAGAGCAATGAAACTATCAGAATGTTTGCTTTTACCTGACTACTCTCACAATTACCTACCGTTTCTGAAGATCCAGCTTTCTGCCCAGCTTCAAACATCAGGCCCAAATAGGCTTAGCGCCACATCATGTGCTTGCTCCGGTTCTAAAAAATTGGTTTATCGCGACGACTAAAGCTTGCCGCTCCCGACGCTCAAACAGAGAATAAACCCGACCTCGAGCATTGACGACATAATATCTTCCGTCTCTTGGTCGCCGACGTCTCCAAGCAACATCTCGAGTCCCGGAATTACTCCTTGTAATTGATTCGGTTGGAATATATCCGGTCTTTTGCTTGTTACGATCCAAGCTATAAACCTCCTCACCTACATCATCAATCTCCAAAATGGTGCAGTCCACCACTCTCGTAACAGCATCCGTTGCTACCGCCGCCGCCGCCATTGTCGGTAAGACCGCGCCATTCATTCTGCTTCATGAGATTGCGTTATACAACACAGTCAATCAGTCGCAGACCATCGAAGCTATGGTGCACAATAGCTAACGAAAATGCCCTCTGATCAGGTTACGCCATCTACTTTGACTACCAACGTCGAAACCAGGCCGAGTTCCGCCGAAACTTGAGGAGGAACGAGCGCAAGCAGGCCCGCGTCGCAAAGGAGGAGGCAGAGGCTTCTACCCAGCAACAACGTCAGAGCATTCGCATCAGAGTGGAGGAGGCCAAGGAGGAGGGGTTCCCTACTGGTGTTGAGGAGCGGGAAGCTTTCTTCAACGAGCAGGTCATGGCCGGAGAGATGCTCAGCCAAGATCGTAGGAATTGCCCTGGTCTAGACATCACCAATAACTTGCTGACTGTTGTTCTGCAGCTTCCAAGGCTCTTGAGTCTGCTTTGGCCTTCTACAAGGGTCTCAAGGTCTACCCTGCCCCCGGTGACCTGATCCGAATTTACGACAGCACTGTTCCCAAGGTATGTTGGCGAGCACGAGCCTCGAAGTTGAGTTATTTTGCTGACACCTGCACAGCCCATATTAGACATCTTGGCTGAGATGATCGCATACGACTCATCTCTCGACATCCGAGCGCCCGCCGCTCCCGCAGGCATCAATCTCTCTGATATTCCTAACGTTGGTCTTGATTAAAGAGGGATGTCATCTGTCCGAGTTTCCTCTCCGCTCTTGGCACACATATACCCAGACGTTGGAAATGCTCTTGAATTTTAACACCCTTCCCCCCAAATCTGTACCATGAAAAGTCTGAACAACAGGCTTTCATAAAGAAATGTCTAATGGAGACCTGACGGCCTTCAATGTACCATAGTTCCGCTCTTCCAGCTTCCATAGAGCTTTGTGTAAACAAATGTACGTTGAAACGAATAGGTTTATGAACAAAAATTGCTGGCTGTATTTCAGAAGCACAATGCCTTATGACGATGTCAACTATCAGGGAAAGGAAGCCACAGGATTTCCCAAGACACTCTACCAAGACTATCCGTGATGAACAAGTTCGATATATGGTTTGTTGTGGCCTGTGACGTAATATGCAAATGGTATGTTAATTGGAGGAACGAAGTGGCTACGTATGGTCTTTTGTTTGCCGAATTACAAGTAGAATTTTCAAAGATCAAAGAGATCTTTTACTAACATGCAGCTATGGGATGTCACCCAGGGCACCGACCTGTGGTGGACAAGTGAGTGCATGAGATGTGGCAGATGGAAAGCTTAATCATCTTATTTATTCCTCTCCTTATGGACCATTAAGCCTCAATCTTTCGTCCCTTCCTATCTACTCTTTCATCCTCTGGGTTAAATCCGCCATTACCCCAGTTCGCCCATTCTGGAGTTGGTGTTGCGTCCATGTAATCCTCGGGGGTCCAGCCACCTTCATCAGGAGGCCCCCTTGATTCGAGCAACTCAAAGAACTTCTTGTAATCGATCAAAGTGTGCCACTTGTCACCGACATAGAACCTCTCGCTAGCTAATAAAATACAACAGCTGTGGGCATGCTCGGCGGCGATGCCGTACTTGAGTCCCTTTTCCTTCAACCTCTTCTCGAGCGCCTTAACAAAGTCGCAGACTTCCCAGTAAAAGGGGACATTGGACATGCTCAACCCAGCGTTGGAAGATGTCGATGTGCCACAGTATGTGACACCCTTGACCTCAACAAAACAGGGCAGACCTTGTTCCACGAGTCTCGCGTAACCCTCAGCTTCTTCCTCGACATTGAAGCCCTTGACGAGTGTCAATCGGAAGACAGTACGATGGTGGAAGCGCTTCTCGCGAAGGATGTCAAGGCATCGGTTGAATCGCTCCCAGAAGTCTCGGTGGAGAGGTCTGTCAATCTTCCGTAATGACTCCTTATCAGCTGCATCAATTGATACATAAAGTTGGGTCACAACCTTGAGAGCAGCCAACTGATCGGGGTGCTGAGCGTTACACACAAGGAACGAGGATATACGTTCAGCGTGTAGCATACCGAGGAATTCGTTGATATAGGGGTAAAAGATTGGCTCTCCAACGAGCGACAAGGCGCAGTGCTTGATCTGCATAGCTTCGGCAAATCGCTCCGCTCGCACACCAGGAACACCGCGCAACATCTTGATCTTCTGATAATGGTTCTTTTTGACTCCTTCGAAGATCAATTCAGGAGGATCAACGACCCAACGCCATGTTGTTCCAACGGGATTTGTGCCGTGACGCCAACAGAAGACACATTTATTCGAGCAAGACAGTGAAGGGGTCGTTTCCATGCACAAGTGGCTCTTGATTCCGTAGAAAGAGTACTTATAACATGAGCCTCTTCCGCGGAGAGCCGACTTTGTCCATCGGCATGTCTTGACTCCGGAATGAGATCCCACGATTGCATAACCTTGTTTCGTGAGAGCTTTGTATGTCGGTGATTCCTTTGCGACCATTTCCTTGGGACCTTGAGGGACTGCCTTCTGTGTAGAGGAGCCATAAGTGGTGAAATCAACAGCGAGAGGTGCTTTTTGAGTTGTCGAGCCGTCGTCCTTTTTGATCATGCGTCCCAGGTCTTCAACATCATCTAGATCTCTTGCACTCTTCGACTTTTTCTTGGGTTCTTCATCATCAAAGACAACTTCGCCATCATCTTCGTCCTCTGCGATATCTTCAACATCGCTTTCCTCGGCTGCTCCGCTACCGGGAACTCCCTCGCCCAAGCTTCCAGTACGTGCGACATGCTCAATGACCTCTTGCACACCCTTACTCCATTCTTGTAGGCGCTCTTCGTGATCACTTTTCATGTCGCCCATCCCAACTGGGTACGCTCTCTTTCTAGCAGTAAGCTTAGCCATCCACTTGTCGACTTCCATAGCCTGAAAACAGAAACCGTCTGCTTCAGTGGGCCAGTTTTCACTGTCGCCAAAACCGAATACTGAATAACCCAGAATACCTGACAGAGGAGCGGTATCTACTCGGAAGTCATGATGGGTTTCTTGGAGGTGTTCAAGGAATGTGTCGTTGATGGTATCGATGTTGTAGCTAGGAATCAGGAACAGGTAGAACAGATCGGCGTCACCGTGGCCTTTGTACGGCGCAAGGAAGTAATCATCGAAATCAATCTCGGTGAGGTCTCGAAGTTCAGGCTTGAGAAATTGACGACCGGATAGCTTGGATAACTCATCCAACTTTCCACGGAAATCCTCGATGTACGCCTCGGCAATCTTAGCTGTTTTGGTAGTAATGGAAGAGAAAAAGACCAGAGGTGCGACAGGTCGGGTGACATCCTCCTCCTCCTCCTTGTTCTTCGATGGCTTCCTAGCTATTCCACCCTTGATCCTTCGAGGGCCCTGAGACTTGACATTCTTTTTCTCTTCGACTGGCTCGATGGTGGGGGTCTTTTCTTCGACGACAACCTTGGGCTTGGCAGGCTCTTCGTAAACCTTCTTGAATGCAACTATTTCCGCCTTTTGACCATTGATGTGGAAGTACGTTCGAATTGCGACAAGGATAACACAGAGAGTCAGGAGAATTGGAGTTCGGTGAAGATGCCAGACATCAACCAGATCTGTAAGAGTCAGCGGCAAGATTTGCGACCATGGGAAGCGACGAGACTCACCATCGACAAAGGAGTCCAGCCGCGAAGGCGATGAGTAATTAGCCCAGTCCATTGTGATAATCTGCCAACTGCCCGACTATCCCTTGGAATTTGCGATGGGAATAATTTGGGAAGAACAAACACGCACAAATAATTGAAGAGGCATCTGGGGAAAAGCAGTCTGCCCCGCCCTCTGGAATCGAGAATTTTAGTGGAGCTTTGCGCTATCGTCATGCAACACCAATGGAGGGGTAGCGATTAGATAGCAGCTTATACTGTACGATCTGGAGCAGATTGGCCAGGTCTCCATGGATGTCAAAAGAAGATATAAAAAATAATATGGTATAACTATTTTGTTCTCTATGTAATGATGTCGGAATTCTGGATAATCAAGTCGTGAGTTCGTTCCCCATGAGGGTTGAACATTTTTTTGGTGTGAATCATGAAATGCCCGTTGTCTATCAATTTATTGTACATAAGGTACCTAGTCAAGCTGTTAGATGCAAGAAAGATAAAAGCCACCTAGACTCTTCTGTCTGAGCCTGCAGCTAGAGACTTGTCACGAAGATTCTTTAAGCAAGGTGCGTGGAACATTTCGCCTGTGATCGCAAGCTTGGCGGTTCGAGTCGCAACCACAATCCACAGCAATATCACAGAGAGGGCTATCATCTATGGTCATGTTAGTAATTGATAAGTAAGGCATGTCCAGTTCCTTACCGCCGTGGAAACTTTGAAGTATTCGCTATCAAGGTTTTCTGCCAATAAGTTCGAGCAGGTTGCTAACACACCGAGTGGGAAAGTAAATCCCCAGAAACCAATACTGAACGACGGGGGTTTTGTAGCAATGCTGATGAGGGCGAAAGCCAGCCATACCAGAGCAAAACCGTACATGATGAGGGCGAGGAATACTCCAAGGACATAGAGTATCTCCCCAGCTCGAACTGCAACATCACCGAAAGCATTGGTCTTTGGAAGCACCTGCATAGCAACTTTGCCAAGCTGCTGAATGCCGAAAGCTCCCTGGCCAAGCGGTCCTATTGGGAGAAAAGACGAGGTGATCACCTCTTTCGGAGGAAGCGAGTGAATGGTCAGCCGATGGAAGTATAACGCTAAAACACAGGCCGAGAACAACTCGCCAATACCCCAGAGAACATATGAGGCCACCAGAGTTGTTAGCGCATGGTGGTGATTGGGAAGAGCCTCTGCGACGATTCCTCCCGTGGCAGCGGCAACCACTGCTGGAACAATGGGTAACAAGAGCGCAGCTGTTATGTTTTCGAGCCCAGGGCGATGGCGGTGCATGACGATAAAGGGCATCGTGATGCAAGTGGCAACGGAGAGCCAAACATCAACCCACCAGAATGCCCACGCTAGATATATTACCCATTCTCCCCATGGCTGTAAGCAGAACACCATCATGTTGATGATAGCTATCAAAACGTCAGCATCCACGTAGACTGGGGAACGTGTTGCTCACTTGCAAAGGCCATGGGCATGCATCCTAGGAATAAACTTTGGCCAGCATGGGCAAGCATCGCCGACCAAATCTCTGGGTACAACACATAGCGTGCAATACTTATACCAAGGAAGACAATAAACAGAACAACGTTAAGCGCGAAGAACATGTAAGAGATATACTGAAGCCATATTGCTTGGTAAGGAAAATTATGAAGCAATATGGCAACGATGCCAGTACCCATACAAACGGCGAACCATCTGTCGCTGGTGTTAGTGGCCAACCCTTAGTAAGATGATTTTATGACTTACGATGGTGTGAAATTGCGTACAAGTCTCCTCCAGCCAGTATTCTCCTTGCATGGCAGAGTCGACTCGCGAGGCTTAGGAGTAGAGCCGCTACATACCGCAACGTTCAAGTTTGAGGTGGTACAGTCAGACATATCGCCGGCGGCTCTTGAGGATTCAAGGGTGTCTGATGTTACGTGAGCTGCTGATCGCTGGGTGTGACGATGCAAAGCTAAAGTTTCCGGCTCAAAAGCCAATCAGAGTGGACGGTAGATCTCTAGAGCCGCTAATATGGCACAATCTGAGAACCCAATAGGATGTAGATTGCAATTCAATGTTT